AACGAACAAGGAAAAAATTATTACAATACAATCAAGGCATTCAAAAATACGTCAATATACACAACACATTACCGTACGACCTAGGCACTTACAAGTCGATTCTCCTAGGAAATTTTCGTTGGTTTATTTTCTTCTTCAGCGCTGACAGATATAAGTAGGTAAAAATAACTTGACAACGTTCTTTTTTTTTGATTTCTCGACAAAAACCTAGAGATATGTAAGGCTGAAAATTGAAAAAATAAAACCCATGGACTAACTAGCTTTAAGATAAAAAGAAAGCATCCACAAATCCAGTAAGTTGGCAGAAGCTCTTGTGCAAATCAGCAAAATTCATGTGACTTTCTAAATCTTGAATCCGCACCTTTGATTTTGTATTGAAAACATTATAGAAAGGTTTGCGCTTCACATTGAAGCGCAACTTTTTATTCTACACTCGGAGTACAAAGCTTTCGCGCACTTCGTATTTCGTAATTCTTACATGGTTCGTAGAAAATATTAATCAGCTAGCTCGGCAAAAATGTCTGTTAAAATAATAATGGCAGTCTATATGTTACCGTAAGGGCTTTGAGTTTGATGAAAATGCAAAAACATAGAAAATTCGTTGAAAAAGTTTGTGGGAAACTTCCTTTGTATTCACTTCTACCATAAAACCACGGTCTGTAGTCAAAAAAAAAACATAATTTTCTAGATAACAGTAGGTTAAAATTCTGGTTACAGAAGGTTCACGTACTTTTTGTTGCACTCCATGCGGGACCACATCCTTGAAAAGTTGAAAATCCAAATGTACATCGTAGAGCGCAACTTTTACGTGAAAAATTTCTCATAATTTTGGGTTTGGACTTGTGATTTTGATGAATTTTTCATTGAATCAACAATACCATACAACCCCGTGCATTGCTCTAAACTGAATAATGAGTTAAGTGAAAAAGATTTTTGCAAACGTCAAGCAATACAAAAACTCTAAAGTATAATTTTACATGAGAGAAGAAAGAAAGAAATGTGAGAGCGTCCTCGTCAATTATCTTAAGTCAAAAAGCGGTTTTGCTCCCAATAGTATTGTCACAACAGCTAGAACTACACGGCTTAACGAACGTGATTCAGCGGCGACAGCTTTCGGAAGAAATGCGATCGTCGGCTCAAAGCGACCGTAAAATCGACCTTTACGATGGTCGGCGGCGATATGTCGTCGACGATCGTCGTCGCCACTGTCCAAAGTCGTTTTTCATTTTCTCACCGTTGAGTGAGTTGAATGACCAGCACACCACTCCGCGTAAAGCACGCAGACTACGTAAACAGATGCGCGGGGAAGATTCGTGCGAAAAGAGTGACCGCGCACGCGGCCTTGTCTTCCGTCGCTGACCTTCCCCTCTCCTTCAATAAAAGAAGAATATTTTTCGGTTTCCTTCAACAAAAGCGAAAGTTGAAAAAAGTTTACCTACAGATGTTGCCAAAAAGCCATGGCCAAACAAAGTTGGGTACCTAATATTCTTACGTAAATACCAGCGGCTCATCGAAACAGGGCTCGGTACAAGCTGGCACCAGGTAAATTTCAAAACGAAGTCCTCTTTGATTTCGAAAATTTCGTACGAAGTCCCCTTTGACTTTACACCCTAAACGTAAAAAGACACTAAAAAACGAAACGTCGATAAAAAAACATCGCAATTTTTAGTCACAAAAACAATATTCCCTTTGCTTTTTTCCCCAAAAAACGATACCCAGCTTGATCAGGCGCCAGCTATGCCGAACATTGCACCGAAAGTAGAGCGCCCTCTCCCTTTCCTCAATCCCGGAAAATGGGATGGGAAGTTTTTGGTTGCCCACATGAGCTAAAAAATTATGCAATCAAATTGGTTGTACTGATTCAAGCAATTTCAAAAGAATTCAAAAACTTGATTTTAGCTCTTGAATCAATTTTTTCTTAAAAACAATTCTTTCCTCTCTCTTTTCTTTTTTTTTGCTGATACCCGATAAGATGAAAAGTATCGCGAAAATTTTTGGTACTCCACGCCCCTTCATCCAAAAGAGTTTCGTAGCCTCCTCCAAGAAAGAATCTTTTGGACCTTTGCTCGTATAGAATTGATTAAAGACCTTAACTAAGCTGTTCTCAAGCAGCAGTTCCGCTTTGACCATTGTCCCAGCTGAAGCCTAGGCAGTTTCTTCCCCCGCACACTGCCTTTTCAACTGGAAAACCTCTTCTTCATTTACTGCATCCTCTGTACTATGGATTACGGTAGTAGACTAATGCGGCGCCATCCTCAGAAGTGAAAAAAGTAGAGCTTTTTTTGATATTTGCCAAGAACTGGCTTACTCGCACGAATCTAGACTAGTAACCGAATTTATGTAAATAAGAAAATCTGGATGATATCAAGGTGGATATCGCTGAACCTGTCTGAGGCACACTGCATCGAAAGCTGTTTCTGAAGAGAAGTCCCTGATTTTACTCTCGAATAGAAATTTCTTGCCTGTCAGAGGCAAATGCGGGCACTTTATTTAAAGTAAGGGCCGTACGGATATTTAGAAGAAAAACCCTCGTTGAGGGTAAGCCCATCCCATTTCCCAGAAATACAGAAATAGAAAAAAATTCACAGAAGCGATTTGACTTTTTATGGGAAATCCTGTAAAAGTTCCCATATGGAAAGTAAAAGTGTGTGAATGGAATAAGAAACGTAATAGCAGCGTGTGAAAGCAAATAATTGTCTTCGCTAAGGAAAGCGACAATTTTCGATGGGAAGAAAAAAACACCCAAACACTTCAAATCCGCTAGGGTCTACAAGGAAAAGGAGCTGATGCAGTCGTGTGAAAAACAACAACGATAATGGAAAAACAGTATTCTTTACGCTATTCAAATATTGTTTACAAGTCACGGTCTACTTGTGCACATAAATAAGCCAGCTGTTGACAAAATACAACCAAAAAATCTATTTTGCGCAGATGTCAGTCTATTTGAAAATCTCAGTATTGACTTTTACGGAAAGAAAACCTACTGCAATTAGTTTTTTCCAACCACACAGCTCCTACACCGCAATTCTTGAGCTCTGGTTAAGATTGAAAAATTAAAAAAACGACATTTGAAAAAGTGAAGCAGAGACTTATAGGAGAAATCGTAGCGTGGATGGCAGACCAAACAAATTGTCCAATGTTCCAGAAAATTCGACCATCAATTACGAACGCCTCCAGTTGTCCAAATGATCTCTCCTCTCATTTATCATGTTTTATTGAAGAAAAAAAAAACTGAATGCGTATTTTTGGCAATTTTACGTTTCCTTTACTTGCTTTAATGAGATTTTTCCAGGAAAAACTTGTTCATTTCAGTGATGGATAAATTTTTATTTCCGTTGTATTGTGATTTGATGATCAACGTCAATATTTCATCGTTTTCGTGATAGGAAGTCGCAGAAAAATGGACCCGATAATAACCGAGCTAATTTTGTAGAGTGCAATAATTTTTGGAGGGAAAGGAAACAAGGGACTTTTGCTATAGATATCAATGTGCATCGTATCATGGAAGTAGCTTTTACTAAAAAAAACTTTTTTTTCAATTTTTACACCGCCCGAATAAGTCAGCTTCATAGATTGTTGATATTAAGTCGTTTCAAAAGTAATTTCGCTTTTTTCAAACGGGGGCCTTATTCGATAGAACAAAGGTTTTTAAGAGATGTTAAAAGAATTCGATGCAGAATTTCATTCTCTTTCTAAAGGCTATGGAATTATTGCAAAACAATCAATGAGCTTTCAGAAAATAACCAAAATCTGCGATCCATGCTCTTTGAGATGGTCAAGTTTTACGATTTTCCAAAACTTTCATATCAATCCTCAGAAGGAGTTCAAGTAATGTTTCGATAGAGTAAACCTCATAGAATACAGTATTACTTTTTTCTCTTTCTCACAGCTCACCGTAAATTTTTAAAAGATTCTTTAACAGAACCATCGGATTTTGGCAGGCCCACCTAAGCCACAATCGCATCAAACATCATAATTTTTCGGAATTTAAGACTACCAAGATGGTACTGTGCGTTAGCATTAATTTTACAAAGCAAGTGACGGTTTACGGGTTCGAAATATCAAATTTCGAGTTTTTCGTGTCAGCCTGGGGCTTGCTAAAAAAATGAGTTAAGATGATTTCTCCCCGGAAATTAAACGAATCGGAAACGAAAAACACCTGTTAGAAAGAGGAGAAAATGCTGCATGGAATAGTGCGCGAGCTGCTCTTCTGTTGATGTTCTGCGAGGATTTAGCTGTCCAAGTATGGAAATCGGTAGCATCAGTTAAAATTCTGTTAAAAATGCACGACAAGCTATGGAAAGGAGAAAAAAGTAGTTTTGCATTCTGTAGGGTTTGCTTTATAAAGGCGTTACTTGCACATTTTCGGAGGGTTGATATGAAATTGTTAAAAAATCGTGAAACTTGACCATCTCAAAAAGCATAGGTCGCAGATTTTGGTTATTTTCTGAAAGTTCATTGACTGTTTTGCAACAGTTCCGCAACCATTAGAAAGAGAATGAAATTCTGCGTCGAATGCTTCCAAGACCTCCTAGAAAACTTTGTTCCATCAAATGTGGCGCCCGTTTGAAAAAAGCGAAATTACTTTCGGAATGACCTAATATAATAGTACATTTATTTTATTTACATATCAGTTTGATTTTCATGACTTTTATTTGATTACTCACAACGTCCAAGGCACACATGCTGAATTTCATTATTTTCAGTCTTTTTTTTTCTTGATTATAATCGAAGAAAATTAGCATACAGGGACCGCGTTCAAGAAAACAAATTGAACATAGGAGTTCTAAAAGATCTTGAGTTTTGCAAGGCACAAATGTAACCGATGTATCCGGGCTAAGTGTCATTGAAGTATCTTTTGACACATCCACGTGAAAACTTCTTGCCTAAATTTCTTCTTTTCTAATTTCTTTGGACTGAATACCCACTTTATATACATTCCTTGGCGTCAGAACGGCGCCAAACAACATAAAAATCGTCCTTGAACATACCAAGACCCTTTCTCCTTTCCACAAAATCACACATCTCTTGTTAAAACATATATTTACAGCTTTACCAACTCTAAGTCGATTTCCAAAATACCTGACAACATAAGCAACATTTCCACAATAGCTAAGCTAATACAAATATAATAAAGTTCACAACCAGAGAGCTGCATAAGCATTTATGGCAATATTCATAGGTAAAAATTTTTGTAGACTGATAATCTGCAATTTCGAGGTACTAAAAATGACGGGCGAAGATTAACCACCATTACCATCAAAGCCAATTTTGGTTAGAAATTGTGCAGTGGCAGCAAAATGTATAATATGAGTGAGAATAATCTATGGCGTAGGCTGTGGACCCATGGAGACCTTGTTAGCAGGATGTGGGTAGTACAGGAACCAGTTTTCGCTAACATAAAATGTGGAGAAAATTAATTCTGTATTCCTAACCCTTGTATTCGAGCGGTACCGACAAAAATCCTTTGAAATGTAACCAAGAACGAAATTTTGCATAGCGAGAACTGGTCCCCAACATCGAAAAATATGTGCAAATCTGTGCAAAATAAAAAACTATAAGATCGAAGCCACCAGTTAGTCGTGATAAATATCTATGAACATATATAACAGAAGTTGTTGTCCTCAAAACAAGCCGGCTTCTTTTTTCAAACGGATCTGTTTCCAGGCAGGAAGTTTGGCAAATTCCTCTTCGGACATGGCAAAAACGCTACGAAAATCTTCTGAGCTGAGGTACTGTAGGAGATTTTTCGTGTCAATTCCTTCGGGAAGTGATTTTCGGGAACGCAGGGCTTCTACATCGAAGGTCTGCGTTCGTTCGGCTAAGATTTCCTAGAAAGTTTTTCTCAAGTAGTGAAAAAATTACCAAAATTGGCATGTGAACTCACTCTCAAAGGTCTGGGAGGCGACTGCACATCAAAACCCTCTGGCCATTCATTCCACTCAGCAAACAAGGCGATAAACTCGTCCGGCTCCTTGCCCTTCCCAATTACCGTAACTCCCCCAAGCCGATCCTTCCAGAAGAACTCAGCCACCCGCAAAGCGAACGTCGTCGGAATGCGCTCGTTCCAAACCCACAGACGATCTCCCGCATCCACGAGAACTGTATCCACAAGCACGGATTGAATAGCCGGGAAGGGACAATGGTCGTGGTATTGGGCGCTGAGCAGTTCAGAGCCTTCAAGTTCGTAGATTCGATAGAGTCTGGGAGTTTTCGTACGGCCTACAGCGCGGATCCAGGGGATTGTTCGGTCATCGCCTTGGACCTGATGTTCTATTTGGGCAGACTCCTGCAAAATTATTCTTGTGGAGATAAAAGGCATTCCTTGGATTGCCTCTAGAGTTAACTCCAGCATCGTGCTAGCACCATGCCAGTGTCGATCGATCACGGAATCGCGTCCAAATGGGCGCTGGCACGGCCCTGGCACGGCGTTGCATGTGCGACTTTACTCTTCGCAAACAACCAAATAATACCTTCAGATCAAACCCCTTTCGTGCCTTCAGCATAGCCTCAGCAAGCAGCAGCCCATTTTTTACGGAAGTCTGATCTACATCGGTTCCTAAAATTCAACTTCAAGATAACAAATTTTCCAGGCATCAAAAAATGACTCTGGAAAAAATACGTACCTGCAACAACTCGAATGTAATCTTGGCTAAGTCGAATATAGACGGCATGAGATCGAAGGGGCTGCGTTGAGTCAACTTCATTCGCATAGCATTCAGCTCTGGAACATCCTCCAACGACGAAAGTGCGAAAGGAGGAAGGGGGCGAGGAGTGCCTAAAAAATCTCTATGCTTTTAGGAAAAATGTAAAACATAGCTGAGTAGATTGAATACCAGTGTCAGAAAATACAAGAAATTCTAACAATAAAGAGCTATTTTGTAAAAAATTCGAAAAGCTTTATAGAAATTAGGCCGCGTTCAGAGTTGCTGCGCCAGTGCGGTTCCCTCACCGTTCCAATGCCTTACCGAAATGTCGACCGATCGAAAGAAGCTGCGTCCATATGAGTTTTGGCACAGCGTTGGCACAGCGTCTGCACGCAGTCAACTTTGAACGCTACCTCACTTTTTTTTAAGGTTTCACCATAATGCCGTTTTTCAACAGATTTCTAAGCGAAAAAAATAGGGAATGTAAAAATGAGGTACAACTGAGTACAAGGACGTGGCTCACCGACTGATAAAAGTGCCTCCAAACAGCCACAAAAACAAAGGTGGTTCGGATAGCTGAGCAACCCGAATGTGTTGATGTTTCTCCTTGTCCATATGAGCAAGTCTCACAGCACAAAGACCTTGTTGTTTCGCTGATGTTTTGGCACCGAGCCAATAGAAAAATGCCACTCGTTCTCTGCCAGTTTCTTTTTCTGATACTTGACCGGAGCGTAGTCGACGCACACCTAAAATTACACAAAAGTTGAAACAAGTCAAGCCCTGAACTCTTAGCTGACCTGAGATCTGAATCCTGTACTGCCATCGTATCACATAACAACAATCGTCTACAAAAACGTTCGTCCGCTCAATTTGTTCCAATTCTTCTCCTATCAATTGCCAAAACGTCATGCCCTCCGTGACCACATTCTTCATTTCTCTCGTTAGTTCTTGATCTTCTGCAAAAAATCTTAGATATTCAAGCAGGATACCCGCCAGGTGAAAATTAGCTCACCTATTGTTTCTGAAGGTTCTGGGTGATGTGAACCTCGAAGAACGTCAGCTAGTAGACGAGCTTCCAACTTCTCATCCGCACATTGAAGTGGAATCTACGACAGGAACAATTAAACCGAAAAACATCTGGATTATTACAAAAGACCTACATCCTTCCGATAAACCCTTGGAGTACTGTAGATCTTCATTTCGCTACTTTGCCAATCAGGAAATTTCGCAGCAAAGAGACAGTTCTAAAAAACTCATCAAAATCCACTTAGTTTTTTAGACTATTGACTACTAACCTGCACTCCTTGGAAAACCCGTAGATACAGTACCCATGGTGCACGACCGTCTCCCAGTTCTGTCCCAAACAGCGAAACATCCGAGGTAACTCTTTTGGTCTTCTGAATGATTTAGTTGAGGTTTCGTACAAACACCTATATCTTGAAAGATTTAGACTTACTAGTTGCTGAGCATACTCTACCGCATAGCGTCCAGTAGTTTTTCGCGCATTTCTTCCACTCCAAACATAGATTTCAGATCCAAAATCGAATATTAGAGTCTGAAAAACAAAGATTTCAGATCCAAAATTGAATATTAGAGTCTGAAAAACATAGACTTTTGATATGGGGTCAAATGCAGAACGGAGCGTTTTGGCAATGATGAGAACTGATAAAGAAAAGGATGCAGGAAATCTATGAAAAGGAGTAGATAGAAAGAGGATAATAAGCGAAACTTCGTAACTAAAAAATTTCGATTTCTGTGTATTCTGTTTTTTTTAATTCAAAAACCGAATTTCGCATTACTCTTTCGTTTAAAAAGTTAATTCTCAGAAAGGTTTAAAAAGCTTTGCTTGACAAATTTCCGATTTCCCTTGTTAGATTTTCACTTTTCTGACATTGAAATTTTGTAATCTTTCCACCCACCTCATTCGCCTGCAAAAAACCAAATCGAGGATGTTCTCCTTTGGCAACGGACTGCAACTTGTAGTCGTCTGTGACTCGCAAGACTAAGTTGCTCTTTGCTATGACGTTCTCGAACGGTTCGACTACATTCCGCTCTGTGGTCATGTCGATTTTACCTGGACCGAGCAAGGAGAGAAAGGATGGAGATGATCCTGTAACCTTAGAGAGATTATATGAAAATGAAAAATGGAGCTTAAAAAATATCCTACCTGATGACTCCTCAGCCTTTACCGCAGAACAGAACAAGTCTGCTTTTGTTGTGATGTGGATACAGATTTGGGTAGCCTAGAAATTTTCACCCTTGAAATTTTCCCCGAAAATACAGGGTGCGGCAAAAGTCTGGGAGCCTAGTACTTTTTCGTACAAAACGAGAAGGGAAGCACCTAGAAGCGAAAAATTTGGCGCACACATAATTCAAACCATTGCAGATACAGCCCAGTTCTTGATTTGCAAAACTGCCTCTTTTGACTTCCACGCAGCCCTACAAAATCTTGGCAAGTCCACATGTCATGGCACGCAGGTAGTCGTAATTGAATTCGCCCCACGCCTCCACAATAACTGCTTCTTTTACCTTGGCAAATGTGCAGCATGATAGAGCAAACTTTTGTTGCATTGCTCAGGAATAAAAATACTGGATTTTCAATTAGAAGCATGTGTACGTCGCATACCGAAATTTTGGCTACAATTGCGCGAATAAAAGCTCAAAAATATCGTTTAAAAAGTATAAAAAGTATTCCCATGGGCCGAATTTCAATAGATTCTAATTTAGAAGACGTATGCAAAAAATATAGCCTTGGTCCCAGTGCCTGTTGAGCATTCTATAGCTTTTAAACTTGTTCTGAAGACGGATTTCCACTGGCACGTAAGTAACATCCGCATTCTATTTTCCGTTCATGCAAAAACAGTTCCTGGCAAAAGCAAAACTAGGATACAATAGCGCAAAGCCTCTTCTATGTTGTGTACATCGAAGTCTTGTAGAATATTAACAGCATCTCTAGCTACAGCAAAAATTGTAAATACCAAAAATTCTGGTTTTTTCGCTTTGCAAAAGTGCTAGTTTGGTAATGTCCATTCTTACAAAAACATATGGCAGCCATTTCCAGCCAGATAAAGTGAATTCTGTAGAGGATGATCGCAGCATCATATGGCATAAAATTGAAATCGAAACCATCAGTATCTTTGTAATTGCAGTACGGCAAAGTTAGGCTCCCAGACTTTTGCCGCACCCTGTAGTATTTACACTCATACCTTGGTCTTTTCCAAAATATTGCTGTGCTCCCCCTCATATTTATACAACCTATTCGGTGTCACCACGATAAAAACAGCATTTTGATGGATGGACGATGCTATTGGTGCCACCAATCTTACATCCACTCGTTTCTCACCTATACTTGTTCATAGAATAAGTTACAACAGTGCAAAAAAATTCTATTTACCAGCGACCCGAATAAGCATCACTGGAGGATAGGGAGATTTCATATCTGCATGTTTTAGAGCGCTTTTCACAGAAGTATAATCTTCTACAGCCTAAAAAGGAAGACGATAATGAGTTAATCTTCTTTCAAATATTTCAACATACCTGTAAACCCTGGCGTGCACTTGTAGCAATAGGGCCACCCTCGTCCACTATCACAGGTGTGACTAGAGCATCACGTGGATCCTGAATGCATTTGAATTTCCCCCTCTGTTTTGTTATTTTCTGTGAGATGACTGCGCCCCCAACCACACCCCTTTTTGGCTTCGCCCTCTCAAAAAAATAGGGCATGTCAGACAAAAACTAATTATTTTTCAGTTTCCAAGCAAATCTACAAAACTGGGCTTCTCACATGAATGCATGGCTGATACTTGTAAAGTCTCGCCCAATACCGTACTCTCGGAGGACACTGATTGGTCCGCTCCGAAATGTTACGGTACTGGGCGAGAGTTCATAGTTATGTTTTCCGGCTACGAACATATCATATGATCTACCGCATGGGCAATGACTCAGGTTTTCTAAAAATGACGTACAGGTGCTTAGAATTGGGGGCCTACAGCCTAAAACGAACGTTACTAAAACTCTACCTCCTCAATTTTGATATTTGAGGTGTCTAGCGTTGCCAATCGTTCTGTAACAACCAATCGTCGCTTTTGATTTCCAGGTTTTTTCAAACGAGGCCGCTTGGGAGTGTCCAGTCTGGAAAAGAATCATTTTGTAGGAAAGTGACCTATTCAGTTCAAGTAAAGCCACTCACATATCGGTCCGCTCAATCGAGTTCAGATCGATCTCGCCATTTTTTGCAATCGACTCGTGCAGTACAGCGGTTCTTGGGAAAAACGAGTCCAAGCCTTTGTCCAGGCTGAGCATGAGGCTTTGCTTGGACATCGGAGCAACAGCTGCAAAATACCTGCTCGATCGATGCGCCAGCCGATATTAGTACGATTTCCGCAGAACTGGCAAAAACCGCTATGCAAATTGCTCCGAAACAACCGGGGAGCAGTTCGGTTCGCTCTCACACAAGTGCAGGTGAAACCACACCTTGTTGACATGGTTATTTTTCACATGGGTCAAAATTTACTGAGAATCAGGGCATTTCCTTACCTGCATGTGGATCCACATCTTCGGCCTCATTTTCTTTGCCGAGTTTCGCTCGCGGAGACAAACGAGAACTAACCGCAGATGAGCTCCGTTTCAAGACCACTTCGTCCTTCTTCACTCGCGTATGCCAATTTTGTGCGCTCTAAAACAAATGTAAATAGCTTCACCCTTCTATACGAAATTCGAGCCAAGTCATAGAAATGTGTAGCATATTTACCCGGACGTGGTTTTACGGATATACCGCTATGAGGAGGTTGACAAAAACTGATGAACACATTGTCAGGGAAGAGCGATTTGTGAACTCAACAAAAAACAGAAGCAAATCTTCCTGAGAATTTTTGCAATGGCCTCAAAAACAAAGTGATTATGACCATTATGACCCACACATAGAACGAAAACGATGCCAGCAGCTCTATTTACCGAATCACTATTTAGTTTCCTTTTTTAGTTCTATCAGTTTTTGTCAACCTTCTTATAAGGGTATATTCATAAAATCATGTCAGGGTAGATACATACTAAAAAATAGACAGCTGCCCAAACTCAAAAATTTTGATATAATATTGGCATATACTGCAGTAATGTAATTCACAACAGAAACTGTAAGTACGATTAACTATAAACTGTCTACATGATGAGGTGAGATGGTAACTTTCTACATGATTAGGTGAAATGTAGAGGTCAATTGAAGATTTCCAAATTGTTCTGCATAAAATTTACATGCCTGAATTTTTCTCGCCAAATCTCTTAAAAGTCTGCAACTGACTGGAATGCCAAATTTATTAGATGAGTACCTAGCTAAGCAGTAAAACAGGAGCGTAGAAGTTTTTTCAATTTTTTTCGTTTATCAAATTTATAAACTTATCATAGAATTGGTTCTGACGTCTCTCGCCTGACCTATGTAGGCGGGCTTAGTAGTTGATTGTTGACGTTCGCTGGAAGGCAGACCAAAAAACTGAGTTGTGCTCACTTTACGCTTTCTTATCGCAATGAAAATGAAAGCTGCGAGAAAGTTGACGACGATCGTTCATTGATGAAGACATAAAGACTTGCTCTGTGACCAGATAGATAACAAGCAGTAGTCTTCGTTGTGAATAAATTTGATGTTCAAAATAGAAGTAATCTCAGAGAAATTCTGCGTATTTGTCGAAAGAAAGAGGTTGCTACAGTCGATTCATTTCATATGATCATGTGTGTCACTGCACACACTGTCTACCTTTGGCGTCCTCATCCTGGAATTGCGATCGCAAAAGCGCAAAGACCGACCGATTTTTATCGCTTACATCACTTTGTGAGGATTGGTACTTATAAAGGAGGGAAGGCATGAAGAAAACACCGGAAACGTTTAGCACAAGGGCTGTCAGTTCCTAAAATCCAGGATGAGGACGCCAGAGGTGGACAATGTGTGCAGTGCACACACATGATCATATGAAATGAATAGACTGTATATATAGCTACTATGCGCCTTGCGACATTCAGGCAAGACTTACTATTCTTTTTTTCGTCCAACATCAAGATGAAAAACAAAACTATGACAAGGGAGATTCAATGTTGCTTCATAGTAAGACCTTTTGAGGCAAAAAATTCTGATGCTGATACCAACCTTATTCAGTGCTGCTAGGCGCTCCTTCAACGAGATCATTCCGTTACTGAAAGACTTCATGTCCTCGATGAGGCTGTAGGTTCGGGGGGCAGGCAGACGTGCTTCCACTTCTACGTTGCTCATGTCATCGGCAATTTGGCATCACAGCGAATCTGCAGAGACATTGCTATGGACCACATAGTATTATATAAACACTTTGCGACAATGCCAGACAATGCGAGCGCGATTTGGTCAGCAAAAGCGAGCGGACGAGACAGAATAGTACAACAATCGGAAAAGAAACACAAATGCTCTGTTGTGTGAAATTCTATAGTAAAACGTGGAAAATGCATGACAACTATACAATGTGAGAGTAATAGGCGTATGTGCTAGTCACAAATTGTCGGAAGAGACTAGAAAATGAACGATTTTATGCAAGAATAAAGTTCTGAGGAGCGCAACTCTCTCTATTCCGCAGGGAATCGCAATCAACTGCGAAATCTGACTAGCTATACTTCTTTATGGATGAGGTATCTCACATAAGAAGCTATATTTTCTTCCCTAAGGAATGTGATGTAAGGCAAAACTTGCAATTCCATTCGTATAGAACTTATCCAGGCTACTGAATAGTGTAAATCCCAAACAAGGATGATGCAGACATTTCCTTATTAGCCTCCCGTACTACCTATTTTGCCCATCAGTCTGACAAAATGCAATCTTTTTGTAGTAGACTTATTTATTTATTTATTTTTATTTACTACAGAATGACCGATGTATGCAAAACAAGCAACAAAAAAACAAAGATCAACTATGATTTCAAAAAAAAATAACTAGAGAGGTATGAGAAAGCGGTTCCTGACTCTTAGCAGAGAAATTTCAAAGCTGTTTGCAAACTTGAAGTGGAAGCAAATGAGAAAAACTTTCAAAGACACGATGCAAACTTAATGAAAGGTGACTTTTTGTAATAACTTCAACAGAGAGAAATGGCAAAGGAAAGTATTGCTCAGGCTTTCACACAACGTTACTCATTATGTTGTCGTTACAAGAAAAGATGTATAAGCAGATTGTTGCGAAACCGAAAACTGAGAAATTGTTAGGAATTCTACAGCTTTGCTAATTTTTTCATCGGCATAAAAAAAATTATGGTAAGCGAAGAGCTAAATCTAGGTAGTGGCTAGGATGAAAACCCCTCGAAGCAAAGATACTGGGAAAAATCCAGACCTACGTAGTCCAAAAACCAAGTCTAATTCGGTAAATTAATAATCTTAATTTAGAAGACTCAAGTTTATGAGCTGCTAACTGTTCAATGAAAACATTCTAATCTCCAAGATTTCTATAGACCACTGAACAATGAAGATAAGATCTTTCCTCTTGTACTCGATCTCAAGCGTAAAAGTTTTTTGCCAAGATATTCCTCGATAAGTAAGAGAGTCGTAAGAGGCTTTGCGCTGTCTGAAGATGAGCTGACACAAGGACAAACTTTTTTTTGGACAAAACCCTCTCCTCTGACGGGCAGCTAAAGCAGCAGCATCTGAAATTCACTGCAATGAAATTTCCCAGCCTTATGAGAAGATGTTTTTTTCGATGACTGGCCTTTATTTGTTGCTAGGCAACATTTGTCAAACTTGAGTCACCAGTATGTCATTTATAATGATGTTCAGACATAGAGAAACAAAATTACATGGTTGAAAATATAAAAGGAAAAATAGCAAGACCTTGCCTTCGTATCGACTCAAATTATGAAATTTTCAGAGATGCTCGGCTATGAAAAAAGAGAATCAGACCAATCGTCGAAGAGATATTTTTGAGGATTTCTCAAGATATTTAGATGTAGCGATTTGGCAGGAGAAAACAGAAACAAGTTTTTTCTTTGCGATCATCTTGTTCTCCAATAAAAAACAAGTTTTTAAGACTGTTTTTGCGCAAAGATGGGATTGATGACGGTTTCAGCTGATAAAAAAAATGTAAATTATTTTGGGCTGACTAAAGTAGGTGATGGTTGGAAAGAAAACATGTTTAAAAAAATTCTGGCAGATGGTGTTCCTCATTCGTCTTACTAACGTCACTACTAGCGGTGGATGGTATATGGTTCTTCTCAAACGAAACAAGGCAAGTGCACTCGATGTAGCTCACAAGACAACAAAGTAAACAAATAAATAAACTTGCAGCAGACGTCCGCAAGCACACTCACAAGTCTAACACAAAGCACAACACAAGACTCCTATGTTAGTCGACCGAAAACTGTTCGGGAAGAATCATGGGTGAAGGTGAACCCACGCTTGGAGCCTCGACGGCTTGATGGAGGAGAGGTCAGGCCATTTTTCAATGAAAAAAAAATAGTGCATAAGAATCGATGGCTTGCCGAACAAAGGCCAGCAAATGGATGGCTGGCTGCTGTCGAATGGGAAAATGTTTCCATGCTGGCTATTACGTAGCAGGGCAGAAAAATGGCGATTATAAACATTTTACGCATTTTTAAAATGAGATTGTTCGCCAATATGCAGCGAAGGCGCCATTTCTTCATTGATGGCAGAATAAGGCTTGTGAATTATTCAGCATTCAAAAGACGTCACATAAGGAGATGACAAAAACGTCTGAGTTGAAAAACTTGTAGAAAGCTCTAGTAGTTAGAAGTTACGAAAATTGACCTAAGATTTCAGGCTGGATATAATTTTCGAGAGACGGCCTTTCGGCGCGACAGTATTCAGGAGCCACATTGCGTGTCTTGTCTTAACACGTCTCCCTAACTGCTCAGAATAAATGCTGCCGCAAGGTATGTCGCGCGCGAGGGGTCCTGCATGGAAGGTTAACGATAGTGCCAATTCACCTACACCCATGCTTCTTTCAACCAGGGGCGGTATGTATCAATCGCCCGTCCGGGTAGGTTTAAGTTACCCGGACACAGTTTCCGCTTCATAGCTCGGTGCTCTGGGGATTTGTTTCTTCCTTGTTTGTTCATCTTTTGGAGGCTCTACTACCCTATTACTGTAGCACAATGAATAGCAGCACTTTGCTGTATAAGCTGGATAATTCGTTATTTGTATGATCCCGAACGGGATCTCCACTGATCACGCTCATTTTCAAAATTATTTATATCCGCAAAACTCAATGAAAACGTCACAGAGTTTTGCTGTCGATTTATTATGACAGTGCTATGCATGTTTGTGAAAGAAATAAGTAAAAAATCAAGTTGACAAAATCTTCGATGAATCTGTGCTCGCGAGTTGGGCTTTATCGAAAAACTCAAAACCTGCTCATTTCATCTTGCTATCAAAAACATGCGTAGCACTGTCGTAATAGGCTGACAGCAAACTCTGTGACGTTTTCATTGAGTTTTTACGGATATAAATAATTTCGAAAATGAGCGTAATCAATGGGATTTTTCTGGACCGTTCGGGATCATACAAACGAATCATCTCAGGTTATACAGCAAAGTGCTGCTATTCAGTGTGCTACAACATTAGCAGTAGAGCCTCCAAAATATGAGCGACAAGCAAGGACACAGAGCCCCAAAGCATCGACCTATGAAGCGGAAGCTACCTATTCGGGTAACTTACCCGGACGGGCGATTGATACATCCGCCCCAGGTCTGTTTTATATCTCCATATATACCATATGTAGACAAGTTAATAAACGCCAATTCGCGGGCAAGACATGAAATCTGATCATGAAATTTGGCGAACACATTCTGTTAAACCGGCTTCCAAAGCAATTTAGGTACTAGAGCACTTTCATAACTTTTGACAAATGTAAATGGACGACTTTTGAAGTACTCCTCGCTGAAGGCATATATTACCTGCTGCCCACCACACACGCACATCCACAAAGATACCATGCAACAGATATCTGAATAACCTCTTTTTGAAAAGGCCATGAAAAGACCGGCTACGCAAATGACTCAGCGTACTTGGGGAAACTGTATAATGGACCTTCAATGAGTCAGTTTTCCAAGGTTGAAATGGAAGTGTTGAAGGAGAAGAAAGTGGGCACTTGAGAATGTTTTGCTGGTCTTTGAAGTGAGTACGATTATTGGTCAAAGATCATTTGTAGAAGAGCTAGGTGTAAAAGAAGTTGGTGAAACTCACTTGATAATTAATTATTACTATTTTTGGAATGATTTTAACACAAGTACATTTAGCAAATAATACTCCATAGCAAACAAAGATGTGAATTAACGAAAACCAGCCAAGACGATTACTTGCTCTAAAATGACTAACTTACATTGTGCAGAACATGTTTTAAATCTCTCGGAAATGTCTAAAAAGTTCAATCAGAGCACTTTTCAGCCCCATCGAGGCAAAATCACGTTCTCAAGTGGTAGGAGGAGTTGCCCTTGAAAAGTTTTGACGTTAAAATCTCTCACGAAAGAAACTTTGCATGCATAACTGCTATTCAGAGAGAAAGAGAAGCACAGAAGCTTTGACAGAAAGAAATTCGGAAAAAAAAACTTGGAATAAAGGGAAAAAGCTGGGCATTCAGAACAGGCGGTAACCATGGTACCAAATAGGGAGAAAAAGCGGTCTTTGACCGATTTTCGAGCGCATATGGGCAGCAACGTCGTGTGATCATCGCATTAGCAATAAACTAGTCCTAGGCTATTCAGCACAGAAACATTCGGAAAGGTTCATGGCATAAGACACATGAAACAGAATTTTTTTTTCGTAAAATGCAAACATGATAACAGAACAAGAGATGGTTTCCCGGAAAACGATAACATTTCGCGTTTCACACATAAATTCTAACATTTTACGATTTATCGAAAGAGCTAACGGGCTGTTTTTATTGCAGACAATACAAATGATGCGTGGAAAGAAGCATGATTGCCCTATTATAGGCGTCAAAAGCGCTGGAAATTGACATTTTCCCCATTTCCCCGCTATCATGTGACAGCACCATGCAAAGGAAATGAGATATTTCGCAATTTTCTATCTTCCACTTCGATGACATCGATGGGAAGCAAAAGCTTGAAAGCAAAAGATTAAAAGCAAGACGTTCCTCCGACACGCAAACAACACAAAGAACGATTCGGAATTCCCAAGCGGAAGCTGCAAAAACTGCGGAAAGCTTTGCTGCAAATCTATGCAAAGAGATATTCTACCAAAACAATCTGCAGACATACTGGTCTCTACTATATGAATCGGTTGTCACACCTGCACACTAAAAACAACCTAAAGTGGGACAAACGAGCCCGTCAGCGAGCAATAAAACACCTGCTAAAACGTTATAGTGGATTTTATGACATTGACAGGTTCTTTATTAATTTCTTTACAAAAAAAGCTGGGGGGATCACGGCTAACAAGCTTTTGAAGGCAGTGCTTAGGCAATTTAAATACCTTGAACCTAAAAAACTGCTCATCGCAAATGACTTCCGGGGAAAACTTAATTTCCAAACTTCCGAAGCGGACGCTCCAATTGGGCCGTGTGGGTGGGCCCCGCCCTACCTGGCCCTACCCTCCCTGGCAACTTCATTATAGGAGTGTCCCTCCGGAAAATTTAGTACTTCAGTCTTCCCCGGAAGTCATTTGTGTTTGTCTCAGTGGCTCCCGAATCCCAAGTACATCGAGGAAGTGACAGGCCACGTACTTTACTCGTAATAGTGTACAACTTCAAGGGTTTCGCCCGCTACCGTACCGGCCCTGAAAGAGTACGGTACTGGACGAGAGTTTGCAATCAAAATTGCCGGCCAAAAATCAACCAGATACTGCCGATTGAGCAGTAACTTTGTTTGGAGTCCCAATCATTTTTCACATAAGAAGTTCAGAACAAGTTTATCTGTACTTGCCTTATATAGCCAAAATACCTCGACAACATCTTAGCAGTCTGGATATTGACCATATTGTTTGCTTTGTTATCCTAACATCTCAAATGCCAAAAAGTCTAACTTATGATTATCTGACCCTAAAAAACTGTGAGAAAAGCCTTGACTTCGACCAAGAAAAACACGTGGAGAACTTGTTTTTCACATTATTTCTCAAAAACAGAAGCAATGCTTTGCTCAGCAACTTTTCGATAGCAGCTCCGGTCAAATCAAATACGATAATTATTTGAATGTCAGCATGTTCTCAATAGATGTTTGCCTTGCCGAATTTCGATGAAGTAACCTGTAGCACTCAACAGACTTAAATACACTTACAAGTGAGTCGAGAGCACTCCAGTGGTCTGAAAGTGCTAAAAAGGGTGGAACCGTGTCTTAAATTGCGCTGGCTATACGAATGCCAACGCGAGAAAAATTTTCTTAGGCATACAACTCAAGAAAATCATAAACGCTGCTCTGGGTAATTCAGAAGACGGACTTCTATATATCCTCGTAACAGGAAACTCTACAAATGCCTTCATTCTAGACTGTAGGAATATTTGCGAGACCTGAATTCAGTAGCCAGGATTTGAAGAAGTTTACTTCCACAAAAGTGATAAGCTGAGTAGTCGGATAGCCATGGATGTACGCTCTGCAGAACAGTGGACTATTCATAGAAATAACTCTCACTTTCGTAAAAGCAGCTGAAAAACAAATAACGGTGGCCATTTGAACAGCGATCAGCGAAAAGCGACCACTTTGCATCGAAGCTGCCTTGCACTAATAGAACAACATGAAATTAGCGAATGCAAAGATTCACCAAACATTGAAAGTCCAGTTCGAAAATCTGTTTCGTTTAGTAAAAAATAGTACTGTTAGTTTTCTGTCATCGCACTACAGCCATATAATCACAGAAAAATGCAGGGAAAAAACCTATTCTATACAGGACTGGAGAGGGAATAACTGGATCGAGGCATATAGTACATTTTTTGTTTCTGTTCGGGGCTCTACTAACATTCAACACAACCAGCTCAACGCTAAAACTGTGAAATCCAACAGGGATTCTACTGATTAGTTCTGATTCAAAAGCGAGTTGTATAAACATTACAGACCTGGCTTTGAACCCTGATTCAAGGTGGAAAAGCAAGGAATTCTCCAGAAGAATGGGAATTGGGTGGAATTTAAATGCCACAACTCTAAGTCTCGCCCACTAACAGTACTGCCCCGGAAAGAGTACGTCATTGGATGCGAATTTGAATTGAATTTGCCGACCAAAAATCAATCAGTGCTGCCGAGTGAGCAAGAACTTTGCTGGAGACATCGCAACCATCTTCCACATAAGAAGTTCATTCAGATAGCCCAATTTACCTGGACACCGCCTTCAGCATATAGCCAAAAACCCTCGGGCAACTTTTGATCATACTTATTTTCTGCCTGCTTTGTTATCCTAACATCTCAAATGCCAAAAACTCTAACTTAGATTATTTAAACACAGAAAAACTATGACAAAGACTTGATGTCAAGCAAGAAAAGCAGATAAACAGAAAAATTGTTTATCATAACATTTCAAAAGAACAAGAAGCCGAGCTTTGCTTAGCAAACTCGATAACAGTACCGGCAAGTCAAATAAGATAATCATTT